CCACCTCTGCCCCGGATCCCGGTCTGGGTGATGAGTTCGCTGCATAAGCCATTCCAAATGATTTGGAGTATGATTATATATATAACTAGATTTTCTTTCGTAACTTGAAGACCTGAGAGATTTAGCAGCTTTAAATTTATAGCATACAAATACTACTTGAAGCCATATGAGAACAGAATTTTTTTTTTTTAATAATGCGGTATGGGAATGTTTTTGGTACAACATTTCAAAACTGAATATCATCAGTATACCAATTTGTCTAAAAATTCATCTTTCTGATCAATGGGATGTCTTCTGTAAGATATGTATTACATAGCTTGAGCAGTTGCCTAACTTCAGGGAGTCGTCTGGCCATGAAATTAGCTTCTCAATGATGTGTGAGTGCAGAGAAAACGCAGGAATTTGTGTTGCCAATTTTCACATCACACTTTGTCATATAACCAATAAAAAAGTGGTACAAATCCAACACCCCAGATTTTATCCATAAAACTCTAAATAACAATTTCATTTTATTTTTATTTTTTTTGTTTTTGAAGGCTTTTCCTAAAAGACTAAAAGACAATGATTTACATATGTTACGGTATGCATGTGTTGAGGTACTTAATGAGATTTATATGGCAAAAACACACATATACTTGTATCAAATGAGATTTAGGAATTACTCATTTTGTTTATGATTAATGTTGATAAGCCTAATCTCTGAGTATCTATGAATACGTTACCTTATGATTTACGAACTGTAGCTGATGTTAATTGCATGTTGGTCTAAACAAATATGATATTTAATACTTGTAAACTATTTTCTCACTCCTTCAGTTTTTGATGGATTTTGACTTTGAATTTGCAGTGAAAATACATACAGATATAATATGTGTATATATTGTTTGTAATTCCGGCAAATCTGATCATTTTTAGGGGGTTTAATACTTTTGCACGGCACTGTATATATAATAAAATGTCTGGACATTTCAAGTTACTGATGGCTAATTTGACTTTTACATTACAAAGAAAACAAAATTGTGAAAAAGATCACATGGAATTATGCAGAGAATAGAGTCCTTCAGTACTGCCCCCTTCTGCCTTAATGACAGCTGTGCATGCTCTTGGCGTTCCATCAACCAGCCTCAATAAGAAATCACCTGGGATGCTTTTCCAACATTCTGGAAAAAGTTCCCACATATGCCCAGCACTTGTTGGCTACTTTTCTCTCACTATCTGATCCAGTTTATCCCAGACCATCTCTGCTGGTTTGAGGTCAGGTGATTGCGGAGGCCCATGTCATTTTCTGTAACACACAGTCACTCTGTTTCTTGATAAATAGCTTTTACACAGCCTGAAGGTGTGCTTAGGGTCATTGTCTTGTTGAAAAAACAAACAAACACCCAAATACATACACTAAATGGTCAAAAGTATTGGGACACCTGGCCATTACACCTGCAGGGACTTTTATGACATCACATTCTAAACCCATAGGCATGGGTTAATTGCTTAATGGATTTTCCAATACCATCTGCAGACACTTGGAGAATTATTTTGGATCTCCTGACCTTTTCTTGAATTGTTGATGGCTTCTCTCTTCCCTTTGCTAATTCCACATTTTTCTGCCATATTATGCTGCAGAATTAAAACAACAAATTGAATGATGCCAAATTAAGGTATTTATCCCATTCCTACACTGGTACAACACCAGTGATTGGTTAAACACATAAACGAGAAAAGGAGTGACATTAACTAAACCTTCATTAATTGCATAGACTGATGAGAATGATTTAATGACTGTGGAGAGAGACAGAGTTCATGTTCTATAACATGTGACAGTTGTCAAAAGAACAATGCATGACTCTGTTGGAATCGACTCAATTACAAATCACAATTCTAAGTGTCGATTTATATATCACCAATAGAGTGAAAAATCCCATTTTTAAATATCAATTTAACCACAGGTTACTGTAATTTTGTTGGCCACATTTGTTGCTTCCGCATCTACTTATGAATGTAGGCTTTGCCTATTTGAAGAAATATATTCATTTGTTTCATTGTGTGTCCCGAACCAGAAATTATGCAAATGATTGGCAGATGACGAATATGTGTACTGCTACAGCCCTTGTCTTTTAAATGTAGACTTGAACTGCTCTGCAAAAACTATTTAAAAAGCATGATACATATCAATTTGACAAACAGATATCATTATAATACTGATTTGGGTGGTCTCCGTCAAATCTCATTTCTAAATGAACCGAGAGCCGTTGCTGCTCCTGGACCTGAACCTGAGGGTCAGTGTCAGTTAAAAGCCTGAAATTCTTACACCTCAGTTACAGATGTGTTCATGGTTTGCCATATGTGTTGGGGGCCATATTTATGCAACTGATAAAAGAAACAGTGTAACAAATGATACCGTCTGAAGCCGACTCGCCATCGCAGTGCCATCGCAGTGCCATCGCAGTGCCATCGCAGTGTGCGTATTTCCCCCGGATACTTTTCCAGCAAAATGTTTGGCCCTAATATGGCCCTTGGGATATTTTTTATTACCAGTTTTGATTATTAAATTTTTGCCATCTAACATTACTGCCTACTAAACAGTCCCTTCCTCCCATTTATTTACTTTGATTCTTTCTATGACAAGGGCCTATTATGCTTAAGTTGGCAGCGCTTCCAGTAATAATTCTTTTGAGACATTACATTTTTCCTCGGAGAACCAAAAAATACATGCATATCGCCACCATGGCTGTTATTGTCCCCTGTGCCTTCTTGTTAAAGTGAAAGTTAAACGAGCAGTAACACGGTACGGCTGTGATGTGTTTCACTCTACTGCACGCTATTTCTGACACTGGGCATGTCTGGGCACCGATGTAAAATCAGTAATAATTGCATCACCCACGGACAACCCTAAAATGTCACCCTCTGCTGGAGATCCTGCCTCCGCCTGGCTGTCAGCAGCTTCCCACTCTCCTATCACTCATGGCTGAGCAAAGAGATCTCCCTTGAAATCCGTGCTGGCATGTGTCACCATCTCATATAGCTTCCACAAACTAGAGGGTATTTCATTCGTTTACTCTCATAAGAGAAACCACAATAACAGATCTGGCAGAGTTAGTCATAATGAATATAATTATAGTCATTCTGCAAACAGTTATATTTTTCCTGTATTTGTATAATTAGGCCCATTTGACAGAGGCTGTATTATTATGGCTCAGTTCCATCCCACAATGCTGGAAAAAGCTGAATTAAATTCTCTTTAAATCCTGCCTTCCAACCTCTCTGATGCTTTAATCCTGACACATTCTGAAAAACACAGAGATCATCATTCCTTAAATATAGAAGTTTGATTTTTATTATTTCATATCTTTTGAGAAGTAAAAAGAAGACAAAATAATTTAAGAAATATGCCAGTGGAGTGTTATACTATCCAGACTGTCTGTTATTTTGCTAAAGGAAGACACAAATCATTTCTATAATGGCCATTTTGAGCTCAGTTCCTCTTAAGAGATGACAATATACGCTGGAGGCTAAGGGACTGCATGGTTTCAATGTATTTTAGATGATAAGAAGACTCATCATTAAATGAATCCATCGGAAGACACTTTCCTCCAGAAAACGTTCATTTCCAACAATAGGTTTATAAGATATATAAACAGAGAAACTGAATTTGTCAAGTAGATGTCTGGCAAAGAAGGCTGTAGTCATGTTATGAAAAATCTTTTCATAATTTTGAATAGTTTTCTCCTGATTTTTATGACAGTCATACACATTTTAAACAGATATATGGACCAGTCCCAATATCATAAGGCAGTAAGTGTTCGCAACACCTACTGCTGTTTTTTCAAGGTGAATCGATGTCCTTTCATTCAAGCTTCCTATAGCATTCATTAATTTAATTAATATTCATGAATGAGCTTGAAGGACAGACTGACATCGTGTTTGCATTTCTGCTTGGCAGAATCAGAAAACAGCCATGCTGTATACTTCATACATAATGTAACATTTAAACATTCTCTCAAAGACTAATATAATGTTTTATTAAAACATGCAATTTATTCTCAATTTCAAATATTTGTCTGAACACAAAGCAATTGAAATGCAAAATCTTCTCCCAGATAATAAGAGAAATATTAAAATATTGCATAAGTAATTGCAGTCATCCTCAGCCTAGGCCGCTCAATAAAGCAAATTATTGTCAAAACAGTCAACATAGAGAAGACCCTGCACTTCAGAAAAGGTCACCAGCTCTGAGGAGGCAGAGGATTGTGGGAGCACTTCCCTCATGAGACAGGATGGGAGAGCTGAGAGCTTGCTGGTACTGAGAGAATGATGGTGTGGAAAGTGGTGTCTAGGAAAAGGAGGGCCGCTTGGGGGGGGGGGAGAGCCAGAAGCTACGGCGATGCTCTTACAGAAGGCCATTGGGGATAATCTGTGAGCAGCTCTCTCAGGTGTGGGTCACCAACATGCTCTCTGAGCCTCAAAGAACAGCTTAGCTTATCTCTCTTTGCCCTGCCCATGTCTTTGGTGCCAGGGCCAGAACCCTATTTCAAAATCTTTCTGCTTCATTCTTTGTGTGTCATGATTTGTTGCACCAGATTCCATAGTAACAGAATGAGAATAACCTTTTGTAAAACTCAATAATTAACCCTGAGGTTCCTTCTATCCACAACTAGAAAATGGAAAAATTCAGTCATATAAACTAAGGTGTACGGTGAAATGCCTTTTACTAAGAGCTCTCCTCTGTTGACTATGAATGGTGCCGTATGAATGGACTTTGAGGGAAGGTCATTACAGAGACCAGTTATGACCTGTAACTGCTGGACACACCTAGGAGACAGAAATAAATGTGGCTGCACCACCCCACTGCCAGCTCATGCTTACAGATGTGACAAGCAAAAGCTATTTTCATGCTGTTCCTTTTCTCTTATCTCCAAGTTTTACATATTACTGCTTTTTAGGCAAGAAGCTGACAGTGCAATTTATTTCCCTGCTTCAATTTATTCTTGCTACAGGCCAAACATTTTACAGCAGTTCCCACAATTTTTTAGTTTTTCCTCTACATTTATAAAAATACATAAGACATCTGTATCATGGATATTAAGCCTTTACCATCACTTTTATTATAATTTGTGTAAAATTGTGAAAGTAAGGTTCTTTGACTATCAGAAAACAGAAAAAAAAACATGATCATGAAATAAGATTTTCTGGAGTTCTACTAGTACAGATATAACGGTTTGGAAAGAAAAACAAAACTCAAGAAACAAATTACAAGAAACCAAGATGATCTTGAGTTTGCAAATGGATCATCTATATCAGTCATTCTCTTACACAACTATGTCATGACAACTGTTACTTTTAGACAACTCTGATACTTCTTTATGTGCACTTGCTAATTTGAGGCTTTGAAACCTTTTTCTGTCGATCATGCTAAAAGCTCTAATGTGATTGTTAAAGGGGTTTATCAGACAAAGCCAGTATAACACCACTGTAAGTACCAGTGTGTGTTGTATCATGTGGGTTTCTGGGCTTGAGACACTGTCGAGAATGCCCTTGGACATCAGCCCATGAGAACCTGCAGAGGTGAAATGACAAGACATGGCAGAGCTGAGCAAGATGTTTAAATCCCTGGAACCATTTCCACAACACAAGGGCATAATTTTGGTTGGAACATTGTGTTGAGGATTGAGGTCTTTAACCATTTAGGGGGATACATGATTATTGGTGGGGGGAAGGGGGTTGAATTAGATGGTTTGGATTTATTGGGGGGGTTAAACCCCCCTGTAATTTCACACATACACTTCCTGTTATGATTGCTGTGGTAATTAAACGACAGTGTGCACCGCTAAGGCACCTGAAGAGATGAAACATAAAAGACAAACTTACATTTGAGGTTGGTGTTCTGCTGCTTTACGATAAACTGGGTAGGAACACAGCTGCTAAACCTTCAGCCTCTTTCAGCTTTGCACGCGTCCCCATATGGAACATGCTCGACTGAACTTTCCCGGTCTGCCAGAGGAAAGAGTTCATTTATTTGCAATCCAGGACATGACAAGAGTTTTGTGTTGGCAAAAGTTCTGGGGAGTTTAATTGGAAATCAAATAAACAATGAGTATCACATGAGTATTATATTGATAAAGAAGTCTGTCAGGTGGAAATAATTTAATAGTAATTAGTGCAGATGTAAAGTGACCTGTAGGAACACTGTAGATGTGACAGTAGACCACCTCAAACAAGGGTCTCATAGCACTGGCTTTATGTCATATTTCATGGGTCTGGGTTCATTACTAGTTCTAACAAATATACTGATTGGTCTAGTGCCTTGTTTTTTCATGTTTTTTTTCCCCAGTAGCTATGGGAAAGGCGTTCTCGGGAAGCCCCATGCTGGCTGGGACCGTGATTGCCAATTAGACCTCCCTGACAACCTATAGAGGTACCCGGGTGGCAATTAGGAGGCTGAAAACAGCACCTCATTACAGTAAGAGGCCAGCCACAGCTTCCCTGTGCCCCTGCAGCTTTCAGCAGACATTTAGTTTTCCATATAGCTCATTAGGAACTGGCATACTGTACCTGAAACGGAAGTAATTCAGCATTCTGTTTTCCTTTCATCTGCAAAGCCCACCTACCACACAAGATCACTTCCTCGTTCACACTCACTCATTACCTCATAAAGAATAGCAGCTTTCACTTAGTGTTGAAGGACCTGTTCATGTTCACGTGCTGGAGCACTTTGCTGTGTATGAAGCATTATCTTCTGAATGCATTAGAATGCATGTGATTATATGGATTATGCAGAAATATCCTTCATAAAAGGTTTGGAAGCCATTTTATGATCTCATAATGCATCATAATAATAATGCTGTTCAGCGTTTATACTTTGCTTTATGTGTGTGTGTGTATATATGTATCAGTTTGACTTGTATCATCGTTAATTAACAACACACAAAGAGGACAGAATTTGAAAAAAGAAAGAAAGGTGCAACATTTATTATTCAGTACTTATCAAGGCATTTAAAAAGGCCTGGGGGGTAGTTTCATTACATTTATCCCAGATGCCTCAATCATTGTGCCCCCCCAATACCACATCACTATATTTCAATTAATTCCTCGGTTGTCTGTTCAGTTCACCTTGTATGCATTCCAATCACACGTTCATATTAATATCATTATATTTAATATATATTATAAATAATGAATTTTACAATAATTAAATGGAAAGTGTGTAGAGGGATTCTTTATAGGATTTCATGGCTTGAGTATGAAGGTGGGGGTGCCATATATAGCCAGGAATTGCATGTGACTCACCAGTCCCACGGGTTCCTGTAGGAGAAGGAAGGAAAATTGACCTCCTCCTTTGGGATAGGACAGACGTTAAACCCACTGGGACCGGTCGCTAGAGGGATGAGCTTAGAAATAAGCAGGTTGAAATGGGCAAGAAATGAATTTCAAGCAGAAAAAAAATTGCAGGTCCTGTTGCTATATAGCACAGCAAATAGAAGTGAGGTAACATTATATAGAAATCCATAAAAAATAGCCAGTAAACATACCTGGTGATCATGGTATGCTTATGCTAATTTGTTTTAAGACATCATTGCACTGTGTTTTCTGTAAGTTTGTCATTTCTATCTTTATTTTTGTGTATATTGTGCCATGAAGTGGTTAGCACTGTTACCTCACGTCTACAAAGACCAGGGTTCGAGTCTCCGCCATGGTTCCGTGTTTGTGGGGTTTGTATGTTCTCCCCGTGTCGTAGTTTTCTTTGCTTCTCCGGTTTCTCCCCACAATCCAAAGATATGTTAAGCTGTATTGGAGTCACCAGATTGTCTGTAGTTGTGAATGTGTGTGAGTGTGTGTGTGTTCACGTGTGTGTGTGTGTGTGTCTATGCCCTGTGAAGTGTTTCTTCTAAGTGTCTTGTAATATTGTCTTGTATTTCATGTTTGGCAACAAACAACAACCAATTCTGGTATACTTGTACATACTGGCAATAAATAGTTCTGAGTGAAGAGTTGCAGTCTGTCATCAGTAATTTCATCAGCTAGCTCCCCAACCTTGCACGAAAAACAAATTACGTATTTTCTGAAAAAAAAAATAATAAAAAATGGTGTCACTTCATTTGAAGTCTAATCTGACAAACTCATGCTTTTGTGTTGTACAGATCTGCGTCCATTCTGTACAGTTCAAGGAGATGTTGTCCAACATTTCATCAACTGCCATCCTACTCTTATGGGGCACATTGTACAAGTTTATGAAAATACAGAAAAAACGGATTAAATAACGGATAGCTAGTAGGTCTGGACGATGTCTGATGTCGATATTGTCATTTCATGCTATGCACATGCAATCATTACATCATAAGACCTGTGCTAGTTAGCGGGGTTGAGATTAGGCTTGGGTGGCATCACATTTTTCTTACTTCCCAGACATCATACCACGGTATATGGTATTTTGACATTATCTTAGAAAGCAATGCAATTCTGGAGTTGTGAAATCTCAGTGACAAAATTCAGAGAGCCACAATAAGATTCATCAATTGGAGATTATTAATGAATTTCGTCAAAACATTTTTACTCTGTCATATGAAACAAAGCTTTGCAATTTTATTGATTGTTCCATTTTCAAGATTATCTAGAATACGTAAAAAAAAGTGAGAAGTTGCCCGTTGCTCTTGCATGAGTCCTGCATATGCTCTGTGAGCCAATCATAATGCTCTTTGAAGTTGGATTCACTCATAGACAGTGTGGCTCGATTGTGAGAAATTCAAAATGGGGAGGAGAAAAGTAAACAAGAACTGGTCACCAAAGGACATTTGTATAGAAATCTTAGATTCCATAAATACCATATTGAGCAAAAGCAACTGATTTGTCTGCTCTGCTTTGTGACGAATTGTGTCAACACCACCGACTTATCTGACAGACTCTCTTGGTCGGTAATAAATTCTATTTGGCTATAATTCATTTTGCATACATTTTAAACTGCTTTTTAGATTTTACAATATTTATTGCAAAAAAATCACATTGTGGTACTTGAAATGTTTCCAATATCGTATATTGGATATCCAGCATCTAATATAGCTAGCTATATTGTAAAATGTGTGAACAATTTATGCCTAAATAGCAAGATCTGTGATGGGGTGGAACCCCACCTTGGGTTATTACGTACCATTGCTTCTGGGGTAGGATCTAGACCCACAAAACTCAGGTGGGTATGGAAAATGAATGAATGAATAAATGTTTGATAGTTAGATAGCCACACTAGGTAAAAATGGTCTAGCTAGCTAAATGGTAACTAAAGCCCTCAAAGTAAGAAAATAAAGGCTGGAATTTCTAAGGATTTGGGCAAGAAAAAAATGGAGAGAAAGGTCACTAATTAATTAAATTTGTTCAAATTTAAAAAAACAAACTTCTGTCTGATAATGGCAAAATGACGCTCTGCTGACTCTAATGGAGGGTGCTAACATTACACACAGCTGCAGACTGGTTTTCTTGACACCTCACGTAACCTCCACCCACCCACAGGTCTCCTCCCACATATATAACACCCAAGAGCAGGTGATACATACTATCAAACATATGGTGACATTTTAAAGAAATACATTGATGTATTAATATTAAAATCCAAAAGGCACAAAACAACAGCCCTTCCTCATACAGCACAAAGGTCTGCGATGTTTCATAACTAAGAGTAATTTCCAGCATTTTGTGACTTTTTTTTCCTTTCTATACTAAAAGCGATTATGCTTTTTTTGTGTAGATTAGCAAACAAGTTGCACTCACTGAACGGACCAAGATTGTATTTAATTACAAACAGCTGACTACTCGGAGTGGAAAATAAATCCAGTGTCTTTTTCTCTTTCATGTGAGAATGGGTCACCAGTCTAAAACAAAAAAAAAACCTCAAACCTACAGCTGCCCCTCCCCAGCTGCAGAGCCCCTCCCCTCGCAGGTCTCTTTGTCCCCCGCAGCATGGGCGCCGTGTAACTCTTCCCAGTGCCACGTCCCATTCCGCTCATTACGCAGCCTGGTGAACCCCATACAATCGCTTCTGACCTTTAGCCGTACACACTGCTCATGCCAGGGACAAGTGAAAAGAACAAATCATGCGCCATACCCGGGCTGCACTGGAAACGTGTACCCTGTAATTATCCCTAAAAACCAATCTCTGGTATGCAGAAAGCTCGACACCCTTCAAAAGAAAGATGGTAGGGTACGTGACGGCGGAGCTGCAGGTATGGCAAAGTGTCGAGAAGCAAACATCAACCAAGGAATACATTTTACCCCTTTAAGGAACAGACAGAAAATTAATAACAGATACTGTATACTCTCAGTTCACTGGGAACAGAATTTGAGGGAACTTCCTTTTAAAATCTGTAATTTTGTCCTCCAGGAGGCAGAGTAAGGATTGTGCTCCCAAGAATAAACTAACACCAGCCTCACATATATTACCAGTTATTTCAGGCTGCTGTCTTAGATACTGAAATCCCTGGTAGACAATTATACTGTTAACCTTAATTGGATCAAATAAGACATTGTGAATACCGCAAGAATTGCCATCCATTGTACCTGTTGCAGTATATTTCTAACCTTTTTCCACTCCAAAATGTGTAATGGTTGGGGAAGCATATTGCAAATTACATGCATCTTCAATGAATGGATCTCCAAAACCAAACCGATGCTTGGCACCAAATTCTCGGTCCTCTCTCATGAATTGAATTGACTGAAATAACCTTAAAAATGAACAATGGTGTGCAGTAAAAAAAAAAAAAGACTCAAAAATGATTTAATTGATCTGAGAACACGGTGATTATTGAATTGTTAACCAGATCAGAGACGTGATAGTGGGATAATTTGCTGCCTGGTAAACTTAGATTGGGATTGTAACCGACTAATAATTAGACGAGAGAAAGATCATAGGTTCAGTCTGTTTTAACATATTAATATTGAGCACTATCCTATTTACGATGTGACCCAAACCCAAAGAAATAATAAAACACCAGTGAATGATAATTTAAAATTAACCTTGTTTTATAACAATATCATATCAGCGCCATCATATTACATAGCTACTGCCTTTGCTTTAAAATTAAATACCATGCAATTATTTGGCTAAATTATTATTATTTCACCACTGCACTGTATGCAGTTAAGCTAACTGGTGCCTCTAAAAATTGCTCATAGAGTATGATTGTGTGAGCAAGTGTGTCTGTGTCTGTGTGTGTGTGTGTGTCTGTGTGTGTGTGTCATGCCCTTGTAGTCTGCGGTTTCACCCACGCAAAATTGCCAACAGTCTCCCTCACCTGAATACTAACTGGACTCTGCAAGTTCCTGGTTTTGTTCACTCAGTGCCACGTTCGTGGCTATGATATTTAAACCAGTGAGACTCCCACCTCATTGCAAAGTCATATCTCTCTTCCTTGAGTTATGGTGTTTGTTTTCATTTTGGATGCTGCTGCCTATAACGTTATTCTTATTTCCTCATTCTAGTACCCAGGAATCCCCAAACATCCTGGTAGCAGTTGAACTTCCTGTGCCTTGAGTCTGATATTGGAAAAGTAATTTAATTTTTGGAAATAAACTCTAGCACCCCATCTCTGGTGTACTCCAGCTGTACCATACTGCCATGGGTATGCTTCAGCACCCCCCCCTCCCCCCCCCCCCCCCCCCCCCCCCCCCCCACCACCAACCATGACCATCCGGAGCAGCTTTACAAGGATGGATTATAAGAACTGATTAAACTGCTTTAAGCAGTAACAATATATGTAATTGGTTATGGGTGTTGCTGGTCACAGTCAGTCATGTTTGAGAACATTTTCATTTCCCAGTAAAGAACACCAGCACTAGAAAGAGAATGGTGACGACCAAGTCTGTTGCCTCGGTTATGCTGAACTTGGCCATGTTGCTGGAAACACACCCGATGTGGTAACTCATCTGAGACGACATCATCCGAGTGTGGGTAAGAGCAGAGCAATGCAGAAAGAAGTTAGTCTCCCTGTAACGTGATGCTATTGCCAGGGAATTCAGAAAGGGCCAAAAAAATAAATATAGGGGTGTTTATTGCTACAGTGACCATGCTGACCGATGTCAGCATCGGTTCCTGTCTTGCCCAGGGCTATCTGTCATTTCCCCATTTGGCCAGCAGGTGACACTGTCCATCCCATCTTTCCTTGGTGTTTCCCTAGGTTTAGAATCTTTATTGGTTCTTATGGTTTTCTCCTATTCCCTGGCTCACCGCATTGTATCTTGAGTTCATGTATTTCAGTATTGGTCCTTGTCTTGATTTTTAGTTCCTGGTTTTCCC